TGAAATTCTTGCCCAACTCTACTAATCGACATTATTATCTTCGTTGCGTGCCTCAATTACTTTAATTAATCCGATTAGGCATGCGTGATTGGCGCGTTTCTCGTTAGCTACTGTCGCTGTCTCGAAAAATTGAGTACCACTGTATGAGAATATTCTTACGTGCCGCACTCGAGTTTTAGCGCGAATACACGAGATCGTAGGCACAAAAACTGCCACGAGCGATTTCTTCGCAATGTTTGACGGTGCGCGTGAGACCTGTAAGTCGCATATGTATATCAATAATGTAACACGCCGTCTTAATTAAGCTTAATCGTTACACACGTTTCGCATCTTGTCTTCACGGACAATCCTGATGTGTTTACGCCAACTTCATTTCAGAAAAAAAGTCGCTCGAAATGATATTCTATAGAGAAAAGACTTGTGAATTCTTGAATAATTAAAAGCTAATAATGTACAAAGATGTATATTTTATCGTACTTTACATATGCTCCTGTATACGTTCTATTACACTTTTATAATACACAATTGTTTCCTAGACTGGAAAAAAAAATGTTACATCAACGGCATTATTTTAATTAAAAATAATCTTGTTAATTCATGACATGTATTAATGAAACAAATAAAATGTTATTAAAACACAAGCATAATGTATTGGTTTTACTAATAGTGTTATTGAATTAAAATTATCTTTTAATTAAAATAATACTGTTGGTATAATATCATTTGAGCTAATCGGTGTCGCATCTGACACGTAGGTAGTACATTTATTTGGCTTTCAATTTCTATTGAATACTAACAAACTCTCGACTAATTATGCTTCGATACTTAGAAATGTGACGTGACTTATGCAAATCGATTTCTGACACACGTGTGTAAATATTAATTAGGTAGATGTATACAATCGTACGGATTCCACGAACCATCCGCATAAGTTAATCTTTTCGAGAATGCGAAAATTATTTATGTGAATTTATTATAGTTTTCAGCTAATAAACAATGATATAATTGAAAAAAAAATCTTATCAAATCATGGAAAAGACGATTACAGAGATTAACAAAATCTCTGTCAATAAAAAATACCTTCGTAACGCTTCTCCATTTATCCATGTAATTATTCAGGTCATTAATTGCGACTGGCATTTGATTAAATTGTGTTAATCGTATACATACTCGTGCGACATAAAGAAACTAATTGGGATGTCAATAGCCGCTGCGCTACCTTTGCGATCAAATAGCTTTGCTAGATTTTGTAATAAATTTGTGTATGCGTATATATCGCGTTTAATCGAATAAAATACATTCGCTGCTTCGCTGACGGGTCGAATTAGCTCGCAGCGCGGTTTTCATAAAGCTCCAAAAGCCCGTCGCTTTGTCGGAATTCAACGGAACGCGCGCCGATTTAAAGCGCAACTCCGCTCGTCCGCATAAAACTAAAAACGGTTTCAGTCGGACTTTTACATGTAAAAATATATTAATATATATTAATTGTAAAAATGTACATGTCATTGGTGCGAATTTCACGAATGCAAAATATGCGAATAAACGAATGTATCTCTCTTTTTCATTCTTTTTCTGGAAAAATTCCCATTAGCCGAAAGCGAAAAATCGTCGCGCATGTTGTTGATTTCGGAGAATAATAAATATCGATCGTAAGTAAATGAAGACACGTGCCGCGCAAGAATCCGTCAATGATACACAAAATGAATCGAGCTGGTTTCTTCACACGATGATCTCTCTCGTATGCTAAATATTCTTAACTTACTATAAATAACTCTTTTTCACGAATCGTACAATACGGAATAAATTGAAGCCCGACGAAGATTGAAGCTGAATAGGAAATGTTCGTTATCGTTTTTCCAAAAATAAATACTATGCCCATGTAATGAGAATGCGAATGTAATTTTCGATTCTTTACAAATTTTGATATATGCGTGGTTTAAGTATCATTGCTCTACAAAATTTATATTATTAAATTACATTAATCTTAATCGACTGTTTTGCGTCTGTTTAAACATTATTTTTGCACAAAAAGATATTGTTTAAGAATTTTTTTTTGCTTCTATTTTCATTTTTTATAACCTATTTTCTCGGTTTTTCCTATATTAATATTTTGGTTCCTTCCAATAATAACTTATTTATTCTATCAGTTACTTATATCAATTTCTGATATTAATATATTTATTTCCTTTATTATTTTATTAATATATCTTTAACAGATTACACTCCAAAAGTTTTTTTTCTCTCTTACGATTAACGTTCATATTTGTGTTTCATTTATCCAAACACCCTTGAACTCTTCTATTGTTTCGCAAATTGACATACATTCTTTACATTACCATCTATAAATTATGGATTCGCACAGACTGGGGGAAAAAATGAATGGTCGAGACGTCCTCGATGAGAAGGAAAAGATAGCTATCCGGTTATTTTAGGCATACCTTCAGACCTGTCGTCTGATTTGTTAACTACTTTGTTTAAAAACGAGAGATGTACATGAGACTTTCTTATTGATTTTGAGATTTGTAAAATCTCTAAGGAACACCATTCTATGACATTCGTTTCAAGATTCTTTGAAGAATCAACCCTATAACAGAATTTAATCGCTACATGTGTGATATATTATTAATTGGCCTATCCTTTTTTTCATCTTCAGTAAATTAGAATGAATAAGACGGTATAAGTTACACTAAAAAAAATGACATTATATCAATAGCATTATATTTTAATTGAAAATAACATCTTTATTAATTCAATAATACTATTAATAAAACAAATACTTCATGTTCCTGATTTAATAAAATTTTACTTCTCTCTCTTTCGTTCTCTCTCATTAATATCGTTATATATAAATCAACAAGATTATTTTCATTGTGAAAATAAATGCTGTTAATAATTTTTTTCTGTGTAGAATAAAACAGCATATGTAAAGAAGAAACAGTATATATACTCTTCTCTCTCACTCTTGTTTGACAAAACTGCTCGTGGTCCGACTCAGTTATGGGGTTTCTAGTTTCAACGATCCCGGAGAATCTGGACTCTTGTCGTACAGGTCGCAAAATATGTAAACCGTGACACGCCGAAGCTGCGACGAGGAGCTCCGAGGAGCAAAGGAAGACGGACGTGTCGTCCGTTCGCAGTGACGTTTAGCCGCACTCTGCGAGAACGCGAGATGCAACGAACGGTAGAAAAATGCGTCTGCCTCGCCGTTAGTCTCTGTGTCGAATGCGTGACGTGCGCGTGTATGCGTGAGTCGCACGCACGCGCGCGGAATGAGCGAGTAAAGAAGAGAGAAGTAGCGCTTGAAAACAGAGGAGAGAAAACGCGATGAGGGGCCTTCCTCTCGCGCAGGTATAGGTATAGGTATAGTTATAGGTATACAGAGATAGCTAGTCGCGTAAAACAGCCAACTAATCTCTCGCAAAATGCGCTTCGTCGCGATTCCGCGTCTTCGTGGAAATGATCGTGGCCGCCGAAAAACGAATATATATACTCGCGTACAACGCTTCGCGCGATCTCGCCTTCGGAGAAGCGAACTTTATAAAATCGCCTGACACAGTTTTCATTCGACGGCGACCGGCGCGACGCGACGCGAGACGCCGCACGTTGTTGCCTCCCTCGCGACACAAGTCGTTGAGGCGAAAGGAATGTTACGCGAGAAAAAGAGAGAGAGAGAGAGAGAGAGAGAGAGAGAGAGAGAGAGAGAGAGATCTCCGCTATCCGTTCTCGCGCCGCCACCGCTGCCGTTTCCTCCTCCTCCTTCACGCGCGCTTGCGAAAAAGAATCCGGGAGGCGGGAACGTCGACGGAGTGATTTTCTCAGCGGAATTTTCGCGGCTGGAAAAGACACCCGCGACCGATACCGAGAATCGAGTGTTTTTCGCTTGGAAGGTATACGAGACGCGATATTACTCGAGAACGAGAAAGAAAGCGAGAGAAAGATAAAGACGGAAAGAGAGACTACGGGACACGGCGTGCCTTGTCTGCTTGTTCTCTCGTCCTCTCTCCGCTCTCCTCTCGCGGTCACTTCTCTCTCCCTCCTCGAACCTCCCACTCGTTACTCTCTCTCTCTCTCTCTCTATCTATCTATCTATCTCTATCTCTCTTGCTTGCTCGCACGCACGCTCTCTTTTTTCCCCGTCTCGTCCAACGTACCGTA